TTATTTTTGGGTAAACTTCTTTCGATGATTTCTGGCTACAAACAAGTGGCTCTTCTCCGATCGGTCGGAGTGTTCTCTTTGTTTCCTCTCCTTCGTTCATTTATATTATTATGCAAATAAGCTAAACCTAATTCTGCCTTCACCCACCATTCAGTCTCTTTCCAATTTTCTCAACCTATTTCTATACAATTCCTTAATCTTCATCTGTAATACAGATGACACACACATTTGCTGAAATTGAGACAAAAGATGGAGCCGGATACTACACTCCTAAAAATATCTTGAATCCAGCCATGTTCAGGTTTGTTTCTGTAAACTGATGATATTAAACTTTGAATAAAGAACGAAACATTTCGATACTTCATATTTTGTCAGCCTAAAAAATAAGACTTGTGAAAGAAGAGTGTGCATGTCCCTGAACGAAAACTACCGTAACCTGAAAATGACTTCATTTTCTTGATTTATTTTTCTAGGTTTCTATTGTCGGAATTATAAAACTACGACCTCGGTGTATGCAGACTCAGAACAAAAATTGAGAAATTTACGGGAAAGCTAAATTACTGTCATGGTTGCGGTACTGTTCGTTCCAACCTGCATCCACATCAATCGGCGTTTGTCTGACACAAATATTGTTTTCTAGACTGACATAATGCGAAAAGTGGTACATAGATTTGGTTAATCCTTTTTAAGCAGCGAGAATATTATTTTCATAGGTTAGCTGAAATTACAAGAGCCCTCAGCGAAGTGAACATGGATATAGAACAAGAAAAATCCCGCGATAGAAGACACACAATAAGCATTGACGAAACGACTCACGACGAATGTGACCGCTGTATAGCTGCGGAGGAACATATCGAAAAACCCGAAGATTCGTACGTTTCATCGTTCTTGTAAGATTTCCTACGCTTCATCATGTATTCTCGTTTCAGAAGAGTAATACCTGATAGTTGGCTAAAAACTGTCCAACGCCATGAAGACGAAATCGGAAAAGCACTGATCGTGTGCATTTTTGTGTCACTTGTTCTGTTAGCGCTGATGCTCATATTATCTGTTTGAATATCCGAACCTCTACTCATAAATGTGTTTCAAGTTTTTAATGTTTATTTAAATTAAAACCCAGTGTAAAGAGTTGATAATTTATTCAAAAATCAACGATAAACTCAACAATGAAGATTTACTTCTTCTTTGGGGCAGCCTTCTGGGCGGACTTGGTGACCTTTCCGGAGGATCCATCGGACTTCTCGACTGACTTGATGACTCCGACAGCGACGGTTTGTCTCATGTCACGAACGGCGAAACGTCCGAGTGGGGCATAGTCTGTGAAGGATTCAACGCAAAGTGGCTTGGTTGGGATGAGCTCGACGATTCCAGCATCTCCGGACTTGAGGAATTTTGGGAAGTCCTCGACCTTCTTACCGGTACGACGGTCCACCTGAAAAGTTTGATATAAAAAATGTCTTGAAAATATTATTAGTTACCTTCTCCTTAAGCTCGTTAAACTTGCAAGCAATGTGGGCGGTGTGGCAATCGAGAACTGGGGTGTATCCAGCGGCGATTTGTCCCGGGTGGTTCATGATGATGACCTGGGCGTGGAAGGTACGAGCCTCCTTGGCCGGGTCTTGCTTGGAGTCGGAGCAGACGGATCCACGACGGATGTCCTTGACGGAGACGTTCTTAACGTTGAATCCAACGTTGTCTCCTGGAACGGCCTCTGGGAGAGACTCGTGGTGCATCTCGACGGACTTGACTTCAGTGGTCACGTTCTGTGGAGCGAAGGTAACAACCATTCCTGGCTTGATGATTCCGGTCTCGACACGTCCGACTGGGACAGTTCCGATTCCTCCGATCTTGTACACGTCCTGGAGAGGGAGACGGAGTGGTCGGTCAGTTGGGCGTTGTGGTGGAATGATGGCGTCAAGAGCCTCGAGGAGGGTCTTTCCGGAAGCATTTCCTTCCTTGCGCTCAACAGCCCATCCCTTGAACCATGGCATGTTAGCGGAAGCCTCCAGCATGTTGTCTCCGTTGAATCCGGAGATTGGGACGAAGGCAACAGCCTTTGGATTGTATCCGATCTTCTTGATGAATCCAGAGACCTCGTTGGTGATCTCAGTGAAGCGAGCCTCAGAGAATGGTGGCTCGGTGGAGTCCATCTTGTTGCAGGCGACGATGAGCTGCTTGACTCCAAGGGTCTGGGCAAGAAGAGCGTGCTCACGGGTTTGTCCGTTCTTGGAGATTCCAGCCTCGAACTCTCCGGTTCCGCAAGCGACGACCAAAACGGCGCAATCAGCCTGGGAGGTTCCTGGAAAATACAATTTCTTAAAAGCATGACACGAAATCAATATTACCGGTGATCATGTTCTTGATGAAATCACGATGTCCTGGGGCATCGATGATGGTGATGTAGTACTTAGCGGTCTCGAACTTCCAGAGAGCGATATCGATGGTGATACCACGTTCACGCTCGGCCTTCAGCTTGTCGAGGACCCAAGCGTACTTGAAAGATCCCTTACCCATCTGTAAAAGAATCAATAAGAATCGGTTGGCCCAAATAACAAAATTACCTCCTGAGCCTCCTTCTCGAATTTCTCGATGGTTCTCTTGTCAATTCCTCCGCACTTGTAGATCAAGTGTCCGGTGGTGGTGGACTTTCCGGAGTCGACGTGTCCGATGACGACGATGTTGATATGAACCTTTTCTTTTCCCATGGCTGCTACGGAGTGAGCAAAGTGTTTCCCAACTGAAAGAAATAAATGTAAAATTATATAGACAAATCGAAAAACAGCGCTTAAGAAATAGTTAAGATGAGAAATAACAATTACGACGAAAAATATATGGAGAGCTTTCACACCAGTGCAAAAATTGAATTGCAACAAGTTGAGCTTTAAAAGGGATAACCGGAAAAAAAACAAAACAACGAGCAATAATCAACATGATTAGTCAGATGACGAGCAACGCACGTTAATTTCACAGGGCCCAAAAAATACCTTGACACTCTCCTTGCCTGCACATCTAACTCCCGCCGCGACCGGTGACCGTAATCTTTTTTGAACGCAGTTGGCGGGAAAGTAGCAACAGAGTCAAACAACAACGATTTTTTTCAAGTTTTCTCCGACAAATTAAAACGTAAAGAAGAAATAATTCCAGCAAAAATGTATAATTTCAGCAAAAATGTCCGAAGCAAGGGAAGTCGACAGTAGCAAGAAACAGAAAGTGCTGACATGGACCGAAAAATAGTGAGTGGTTATCTTTGGAAAGTAATGTTGCCCGAAGCGGGAGTTTAGTCTTTTTCTCAAATTTTTTTGAGTAGAAAAATTATTTTGATAATAACTTCTATGAAAATGTTGTTCGAGTATATATCCTAATCTTGAGTTTTTAGCCGACCGAAGACTCTTGACGATATCGCTCACCAAGAAGAAGTTGTCACAATGCTCAAAGGAGCTCTCCAAGGCAAAGATGTAACAGATAATTGGAAGTGTTATATTTCAAATAAAACTTTCAGTTGCCACATCTTCTGTTTTACGGTCCACCAGGAACTGGTAAAACATCTACAGCTCTAGCGTTCTGTCGTCAACTGTTTCCCAGTAGCATTTTTCGGTAAGGAAGAAAAATAATGCATTTTTAACACATAACCTGCAGAGATCGTGTGCTTGACTTGAATGCTTCCGATGAACGTGGAATTTCTGTTGTTCGGCAGAAGGTATGAAGATTCCAGAAGACTGCCGACGGAGACTATTCAATTTCAGATACAAGCTTTTTCAAAAACAACACTTGGTTCGAGTAACAAAGAGGATGTTTTGAGACTGAAGATTATTATTCTGGATGAGGTGGACGCAATGACAAGAGAAGCGCAAGCTGCCATGCGCAGAGTTATCGAAGATTTCTCGAAAACTACCCGTTTCATTCTGATTTGCAATTACGTATCTCGACTCATTCCACCAGTTGTCAGTCGATGTGCCAAATTCAGATTCAAATCTTTGCCAGCAGAAGTACAGGTTCAGAGGTGAATCTTTTCGATTTATTGTTTCTAATTTTCATATGTTTCAGACTTCGTACGATTTGTGACGCAGAAGGGACGCCAATGAGCGAAGATGAATTGAAGCAAGTGATGGAATACTCTGAAGGAGATTTGAGAAGAGCTGTTTGCACACTTCAGTCGCTGGCACCTATTCTAAAAAATGTGAGTTACATTCCGGTATTTCTATATGTTTATGATCAACTTGTGAACATTTGAAGGGCGACGAAAGTGCTCGCAACTGTTATCTTCGTGGTTCGTCGGATGCACTTCTCATTTCCGATCTCTGCAAAACCCTCCCTTCTGCCGATGTTCCTCAAATCATATCCATGACCAAAAGTATCACCAAGTCATGTACCGGAGTTGCTTTCATCCGCTGCTGTTTCCACCAAATGCTCGACGACAATCTTATTAACGACGAAAACATTTCTGTCATGGGAAAACTTGTGGCGGTAAGAAATTAATGGTCTCCGCACGGTCTCCCAAAGTGAAAATTTTTGAAAAAGCTCTCTCGTCGTCTCATTTTTCTTGGGTTAATAGAAGCTTATCACTAGACTCATGGAAACCACAGAAAAGTACGAATTCAAGCTATTTTTAGAGAGAAAACTATTTGCTTTGTTACTGAATCCTTCAGCTATTACCTGCACAAAATTTTGTGAAAATTGGAGCATTTTGAGCAAACTTATGAATCAATGAACGCCGTCTAGATCAAAACCCTGCATAACTCTGCGAGTATCTAACCAATCATCAATAGACCAAAAGTTTTTTAATGGATTGCTCTACAATTCCTCCGTCTTTGATTTTTGACTTTCGTCTCTGTTCGGATGTTAGGCGGTCAGAGAGTCGTCGATTGAGAGATTTTGGACTTTGGAGGCGATTTCCAGTTGGTTAAGTGTGGTCTTTTTTGCAAAAAGCAATCAAATATCAAATTTTCCATATTTTTTAATATGAAAGTTACTTAATTTGCATATAGAACAAGAAGAATTGCCCAAAAACTCAAAAAATCTAAAAAAGTTTTTCAAAGCTTCATAACTTGCTTGATAGTTTGAGATAAGTGTTGAAACTTATAACAGACAATCTCGGATATGATTTCTGTCACTCATAAAAAAATTGTCTGAAAATACCCATTTTTGAAGGTTTTTGGAACATTCTTAACAATTCATTCAGTTTTCCAATTAAATCTGTGAAAAAACTGTAGAGAGATGAAAAAGCGTGAGAGATGAAGAGACGCAGAGACATTTTTTTCTGTAGTTTTCTAATCAAAAATTTTCACGCTCGGAGACCGTGTCTCCGAACAATCCCCGAATAATTTCAATATTTTCAGGTTTGTGAGAAGCGTATTCTGGATGGATGCGACCTGGAGAACAACCTTCTCGATTTTCTTCTTACTCTCCGTGAAACAATTCATTGACTGCTGAACGTCGTGGATCAACTTTCATATCATATCTTAATTTACAATACCCGTGTATCATGTTTTAACCTCATGCATCAGTTTGTGGTCTCAAAACAAAGACATTTGGTTATAGAATTTCATGTTTTCACGCAGATCAAATGAATTTCCAATAAACGGTGTCAAAAGCCGTTTTCAGTTTTCCCAGATGTTTTCAATTGCAATACCTAATTACAGGTTCAGCCAAGAAAGAGATGTGCATATGCATTCAGAAAGATGTTTTCTCTTTTTTCGGTTCCCTCGCTCACTCATCGATTTCTTCCTCCCTTTTTCTCTCGGCTCCTTCTTTCTTTTTCAAAGAATCTATAGCACGTTTGCGTTTCTTTATTTTGGTCAGAATAAAGTTAATGTAAGCTAAATACTATTATTCGGGTCAGATTTCATTTCATATAATGAGAAGTATGCAAGTTTCTGAGATTTTGAGAAACTTTGAGAACATATCTTGCATTAGATTTCAGAGAATTTTTTGAAAAACTTCCAATTCGTATAAGAAGTGTCTGGACAGCGTCTTCTGGACCGTCTGCCAAACACGTGCCCGGTGGCTGAGTCTCCTCATAATCCGTTTACATTTTCTCGTTCATTCGCTTGTTCTTCACCTAGCCAACCTAACTTTCTATTTGCTCTTTTCCTGTATGTTTGTGTCCTTCTTCTTCATCTTCTCCTCCCACAAAATCTTTCATCATTCCGCCACGGGGAATTCCATTGTCTTGTTAATCACTCCTACTGTCTGTTTTCTGTATTTCTATTTTTTAGAAGACATAAATTCGCTTTTAGATTCAGTTATGGGCAATGTGGCCACCCGAAAACGTCCTGGGTGCCATCATACTGCCAGAAGTGATGAGAACGAAGAAGAAGAAGATGGACCAGCCAGGAAAAGATTAGGATTGCAGAAAATCATACAGAAAATGAATATCAGAAGGTCCGTATTAAACTGAAAATAATGAAAACATACAGTGAGACCTGCAATAGAAGGGTCCCTAAACTTTTAAATTTAAGCCTTATTATCTGGGTTCCTGTCGCAGATGCAAAAAAGTTGTTCACTAACAAATTTTTCATCATAATATCAGCAATATTTTATCAGTTCACAGATTTTTGATTTCTTTCATAGGAACAGAGATAGTTGAGCTCAAACTGAGCAGTGTGTAAACTTTCTTCGATTTCTGAGTTGTAATCCTGATTGTTCTCAAATTCATTTAATTATACTTCAAACAACAAAATATAATAGTTCATTGTTTGATGATTTGATCAGTAACTGTATTTTTAGCAAACATCACAAGGTAATCTCTAACTGATCAATTGTGTGTTAAATTTGTTATTCAACACCCCGAAACTAATCTTTTTTTCAGCTCGCCTTCAAATCCCGTCTACAAAAACTCAAGAATTGTCGGCCCCATTTAAAAAGGAGAACATACAAAGTTGAAGAAGGTGAGATCGGCATGCCAACAGGAGTATTAATTCCTGAATCCCATTGTTTACCCACTTTTTCATGTTTGTGTGTGAGCATAGCTCACCACCACTTTTTGATATTGATAATGATCCGTGTCCGTCGGCACTTAAGATCAGATGAGATGATTTGTAGTGTAAGTACATACACGATCAAAAATGAAAAAAAAACTGTCACTGATGTTAGCGAAAATCAAAAAAGGGGACACTATAAACCCTGTAATAGAAGGGTCCCCTAATTTTTATCTTTGAGCAAATTTATCTCGGTTCTTGTCAAATGTTTTGAAGGTTTTACTGTTAACTATCCCTCAGGTCCTGGTCCTCTCTTTCTATTATGGTCCCACCCGCAGTGTCTATTTTTCCTCATCTTCTCTTCGGTTCCTAGTTTCTTGACAGTTTGAGTGCAGACTTCAAATTTTCAGCCGATCCTCGTCCTCCGTTACCCAGATTCATTGTGGACGACTACGACAACTATGAAAAACGTTAGCTTTGGAGGTTCTTGCCTCATTGAAAACAATGAAATTTTAGCTGAAACTGCGAATCGAAAAGAATTTGCTATTCCATGGTTTGAGCATCTTTTCCTGCCTGAATTCCCAACAAGAAGTGTCATCAATGAGAAGAGTTTTATTCTGGAACGCCAATTAGGTCGTGGATCGTTTGGAGTTGTTTATTGTGCAAGTGCAATTCATGACTCTGAAAGAAAGTTTGCGATTAAAATGCAAGAAAAACGAGAGATTATATCCAAGAGAGCGGTTCTGCAAGTCAAAAGAGAAGCTAGTATTCAGGTGAGTTCATTCAAAGTATATTGCCTATACCTACCCAAATACAGCGTCTTCTTCCCGCTCATCCATTCATCGCAAGGACTTATTCTACGTGGCAAACAAGAACTCATCTATATTCGCTGCTACAGTACCCAACAGGCTCAACCGGTGATCTATTTTCAATTTGGAGGCAACGAGGATCTTTATCAGAAGCTGCTATTAGATTAATTGGAGCTGAGTTGGCTTCGGCAATTGATTTTCTCCACCGAAATGATGTTATTTATCGAGATGTCAAACTGGAAAATGTGGTTCTGGATCAATGGGGACATGCATTACTCATTGATTTTGGATTGGCAAAGAAACTGAAACCAGGATGCAGTACTGGAACAATTTGCGGAACTCTACAGTATATGTCACCTGACGTCGCATCTGGACATACATATTCTCATTATGTTGATTGGTGGTCCCTTGGAGTCCTTCTACACATTTTGCTCACTGGAATATACCCGTATCCAAATTCAGAAGCAACTCATCATGCGAATTTGAAGTTAGTTCAAAATTTGGAAGTTTATTTAATTAAAAGTCATAATTTAGGTTTATTGACTACAGTACCCCAATAGGATGTTCCAGAGAGTTTGCGAATCTAATGGATAGAGTCAGTTTTTTTCAAAGATAAAATTTGAAATTTTTTTTCAGATGTTGGCAGTCTCACAGACTCATCGTCTCTGCTCATTTACAGTTCTTCATGCTCATCCATTTTTCCGATCCATCAATTTCAGTAAACTAGAGCAAAAGGACTATACACCAGCTTCTGAGATTGGAAATGCAGAGTATGATACATATCAGCAAAACGATGAAACTTTGGATGATGCGCTGTTCAAGGAAAATTATGATGTAGGTTGAAATCCAGTTCCAATTTAGTAAATATAATAATGTTTTCAGTTTGATCGATTCGATTATTTTAATGATCGCTTTTAACTCATATCGATTGTGAGGGTTGGAATCGATGCACATCAAAACCTACAGTTTTATTACCCCACTCCGTTTCCCTTTTCCATTCGCTGTGATAAAACAAAATTTGGTTGTAAACTTTTTGGCCGTTGTGAATGATAAATACGGGCGAAAATAAATTTTAAGATTGTATTTATTTTTTTTCCATTGAATTCGTTAAGATTTTGAAAGTTACTAGCAAAAAACTATAGGGAATTGTAACAAAACGATGCTATTACCGTAAACCCTTTATTAGAAGGGCAGGCCTTATTGTTGTTCCACGGGATTTCCAGAAGGTGCTTCTATTACAGGGGCCATTCAATTAGAGGGGCCCTTCTATCTTTCCGCTCATATTTTCCAAAATATTCCATTAAAAAAATTGAGTGAATTCTCGTTCAAAATTCATTAAAGTCTATCAAGTTCACAAAAAAAATAGCAAGTTTTTGAGAAAAAAGTTTTGGGCTTCTAATACAGTTTAACTTCTAATACAGTTTCACTGTATGTTGGTATGTAAAAATAAGAGTTGTGGAAGAGAAACGCCGGTGGTCGTGGCCGAAGGTCTCAGAACAACAACTACAGTAATCTAAAAAATATTGCTCTTTTTCTTATTTATTTTTTCGTCTCTTAAAGCTTTTCGTCTAATTTTCGGATGTTTTATAGCAAAAAAGACGAATATTAGCATTTTCTAAATCTAAAAATTGCTCTAAAAACGGACAAAAATCGAGATGCTCAATCCAGAAAATGAAACCATTTTTAGGTTACGGTAGGCCACCGGCGTTTCTCGTCCGCAGCTCCGAAGTCGGCATACCAGCATAATACACCTATCTCATCTGAAAGACGATGTGTATCTCTTCCATTTTTCCCAGATCTTTTCTCTTTTCTCCGAGTATAATTTGAAATCATCAATCTTTCAATTCTCACTTTTTAATACCAACAAAAGAAAGAGAGTGACTGGTTGACCCAAACATATTGTCAACGGTCACCCTCGCGGATATTCTGAGGTTGTATGTGTGTGTGGCCGAGGATCCATTACAATCGCAATATGAATACGAGTGGGGGAGAAATACTCTGCGTCTCCATCTGATTACCCAATGTCTAATGGTTCTTTTGGCAGATGATACGTCTCCCATAACATCTGGCCTTTCCTCTCTTTTTCTTTCTTCTTCTCCACAACAGCAAAGGTCATCTTTTTGCCTCTCCCTCTCTCTTCACCAATGGAGTGGACCTCTTTCTCCCTTTGGGTGAACCGCTACGCCGATACGCGACGCACGTCAAGCATCAACTTGTTCAGCGTCGTTTCTCTTCACCCGCCATCTCCGTGTATATCCATCTTTTTTCGAGACGTTTTTATTCCGTTTCGCGGAAGGGTGTTGTTTTGAGTTATTGATCTTCTTGACTTTCTCCCGAAATTGAAACATCAATCAAAATGATAGATTTGAGATAATCTGATCGTTTAACATGTTTTAATCGTTTTGGATTTTAAATCACACTAACCAGGCCAGCTAATATCGATTCTGAAAATTCAATCTCTAGATCTAAAATCTGAATTCCGCATTTCCAGTATTTGATGAATTTAGACAAGTTGAAATACTTTCCAGGTAACCTTTTCATGCTGTAAAAGTAGGATTTTTAAAGTTATATCGATAACCTACATAAATTATATTTTAAAAATATTAAATTCTGAAGCTTAATTTCAAAAAATTTTGTTCTTTTTAATGATTTAATGTCATAAGATAATTTTTTTTTGAATTTGAATATTTGAAGAAGAAAAGCAGGAGAAGAAGATCTCTTCATTCCGAAATGAACAGCAATCAATCCAAGGTCATTTACCTCTTTTGTCTCTTTTTTCGTCGCTTACATACACCGTTTTGTAAAATTCAAATCTTTGCAGAAATGGTGGGTACAAATCCGAACAATCTCACTGAACTACTGGATGCTGTTCTTAAGATAAACGAGCAAGCACTGGATGACAATGATAGTACCAAGTTTGTTGAGAAAGTTTCTAGTTGTAAGCATCTAACTTTTTCAGAAAAAATGAACTTCAATGCCATCCAATGCGACAAGCTCTGTTTGATGTTCTATGTGAGACAAAGGAGAAAACAGTGTTATCAGTTCGTAATCCAGTTGACGAGGCTCCAGAAGATCCACAACTAATGCGTCTGGATAATATGTTAGTGGCTGAAGGCGTCGCAGGTCCAGATAAAGGAGGGTCGTTGGGAAGTGATGCGAGTGGTGGAGATCAAGCAGATTATAGACAGAAGCTTCATCAGATTCGGGTCGTCTATAATGAAGAGTTGAGGAAATATGAAGAGGTGAGAATTTCATCTTGACTGGTTCGCTTTTTCAATAAGAATATTTATTTCAGGCTTGCAACGAGTTCACTCAACACGTTCGATCTCTTCTGAAGGATCAATCACAACTTCGTCCGATTGCACAAAAAGAAATCGAGAGAATGGTTTATATCATTCAACGAAAGTTCAGTGGAATTCAAGTTCAGCTGAAACAATCCACATGTGAAGCTGTTATGATTCTCCGCAGCCGTTTCTTGGATGCTCGCAGGAAACGAAGAAATTTCTCGAAACAAGCGACAGAAGTTCTGAATGAGTACTTCTATGGACACCTCTCCAATCCATACCCATCAGAAGAGGCTAAAGAGGATCTGGCCAGACAGTGTAATATTACGGTATCACAAGTTTCGAATTGGTTCGGAAACAAAAGAATTCGATACAAGAAGAATATGGCAAAGGCTCAAGAAGAAGCAAGTCTTTATGCAGCCAAAAAAAATGCTCATGTGGCATTAGGTGGAATGGCTGGAAATCCATACGGAATGCTTCCCGGAGCAGCTGCTGCTGCTGGATTGTTGAACCCATATGGACCAATGAATATCCCAGGACAAGATGCTTTGCATATGGGAATGCCTCCATTCGATTTATCTGTATATAACCCACAATTGGTTAGTTTTGAATTGAGTTCTAGTTTTTTGTTGTTTAGAGCAACTTTAAAAATTATATTAAAATTTTTTTAATTTCAGATGGCCGCTGCTCAATACCAACAACAAATGGACAACACTGACGCAAAACCATAAACCATCCATTTCTCTTTTCTTTCTTTTTCTTTCTTTTCTTTTTTTAAAAATCTCAAGCCCGCCCAGACAATCTTGCTTTCTCTTCTCATTTGAGTTCCCGATCCATTTTCGTTCTGGTTGATTCCAAAATATTCCATTAACGACCTCTTATTCTCCTTTTTTCTTCTGTTTTGATCCACTTGTATTTCTCTTCTAATTGCCTTCTTCTTTTTTATCGTTTGCTGTCACGTTGAATAATAATCAGTACTCCTCTATTTTCAGATCTCCTTAATTACAAGAGTTTTGAATTAAATTCATAAATGCTTTTTTTAAACCTTGTGTTTTCTCAAAATGATAAAAAGAAGGAAAGTTTCAGAAAAGAACGAAGCGAGAAAAAAACAAAGAAAATCCCGGAATTCAGATGAAAAACGACGTTTTCCGGTGTGAGATGAAGACTGCTGGTTTCCTCTTTTTTTTTCGAAAAAAAATTCCTCTCATTTTTTCATGAGAAACTGCTCCGTCTTCTTTTTTGTGCAAGTGGAAATATCTGGGTTTTGGAAGATCTATATTTCGGACGAGTTTTTAAATTTGTCTTTTTTTTAGTTTTTCATTCTAGAACTCTTATGTAAAAAAGTTTATAACCTAAATATGATACATTAGCACTGTCATCGTTTTTTTCACATTCACAGTTGATACTATCTTGAATAACGATGGATCAAAGAAATATCCATAATAATTATCTTACTATTGACTTTGATGTTTTGATGAAACAAAGTAATTGCAGAACAACACTTCTAGCAGACCTACAGTAATCTGAAAATATTGAAAAATAATTGGAGGGCATTAATGTTGCATTGTGTGTTGTGATAGAGATTATTCAAATTTTGTACTGGAATTTCATGAATTGATTTTTTTGCACCGAAGTTTCGAAATAAATTTTTTGAAGAATTACTAATAGGATTAGAATCAGTATTTGACAATAATTGATTGTTGACTTTATTGAAGGAAATGTTAAATCAGGAAGAAACTGTAACTGCTAGACATAGTTCAAAGCAACACTTAATTATTACAATAAAAACCTGTTCTAGAAGGGCCCCCATACTGTTAAGTTTGAGCTCAATTATCTCAATCCCTATGCAAAGTATCAAGAAGGTTTCAACTGACCAATGACTTTCGGTATTATGATAAACAATTTGTCTGTTGTCAACATTTTCATATCTTTGACAGGTACCAAGAATTGGCTCAAAGCTAAAAGTTTAGAGCTCTTCTATTTTAGGTTTTACGGTATTTGGTAGTTTACAAAAAAAAGAAATATTTAACGAATACTTATTTCCACTACAGGAACCCAATTCAATTGTTTTCTTTCCGAAAACAAAACGTCTTCCAAGAAAAAAACAGGCGAAAAAAAGAATGAAAAATGAGCTGCAAACTAGATAAAACACTGTGAAAAGTCTCGCCGTTTTTCTCTGCAAACAAACACGTCGAAAACTTCCATAAATCGCCGCCTAAATTCGATTGGTCCCCAGAGAAAAAGCGAAACGAAGACACCATTCTCACGCCTTCTTCTTCTTCTACTTCGATCGGTTTTTTTCACAATCGTTTTAGTTTCTTCGCGTTACTTGGAATGTGTTTCCTAAAAGTAGTCATTCTGGACATTCTTCTTTTTGAAGGATAACTTTCATGTTCCCTCGATTTTCTTGGTATCATAACGTCTGTATTTGTCGTTGAGCTGACATCCCGAATTCTGTAATTTTATGTAAATACGCCTATGATTTTCTTCACTTTTTTACCCGGTGAAATAGGTGTAAATTTTACAAACCAATCCAAGGTTAGGTGCAAATTTGAATATGATGTCTATGATCTACACAACTGTATTCAATCCGATCAGTCAACATGTTTTTGATAACTCTGACAGTTCGGTGCAAAGTTTAAAGTAGAAAATCAATTTGGGTGCAAATTTGAATAATCTTTGGCATGTGTGATTTACGATTAGTAATGACATCACAAAACTGAAAAACAAAAACAAAAAATTTCCGAAGGAGTTGGATACTGTTGCCAGAAAAGCCTCTTTTCAATTTCCCATACTACTCTGGTCTTTTCGATGAATTTTCATTATATTCTGGCGATGAAGTTTGCCGATAAATCGAAAAAAATAGGTCATAATGTAATTACGGAAATACACGACCCTTTAAGTGCGCCTGTAAGATTTCGCTACCAGACCTAAGCTCCGCCCACAACGCGCATTGAAATCAGACCAGAGTAAAAATCTTTTGAATAATTACCTAGGATTTTCTTTTGAAACTGAAACTGTTTTGAAAAAACTTTCAAATATCTCTCAGATAAAACAAAGATCCATTTTATGCCATTAACTATTGCTCCCATCTCCAGATTTTATGTTTTTTTGCAGCTGAACAACTGTCGCATGTTTCGTCAGCACATCAAAAAAATGTCCAAGTGTCTCATTGTGCAACCCACCACCGAAACACTTTCTAAAATTCCTCGTCTTTCTTCTTTTCTTCTAATCATAAAGTTCCTCCATCAATCACAAACGGAGTCACTCTCTCTCTCTCTCGTTTCGAACTCAAAGTACTTGTTTTTGTGGGCTCAGGAGATAGTGACAGACTCAAAACAAAACGATGTGACAAATTGTTTTTTGTGTCGAAAACCCCCTTCCCTGTGCCATCTTTTGATCCCACACTATTTTCAAAAAAAGAAGAGAGACAACTGTTCCAGAAAGTGTGTTTCGTCGTTAAACCAATGAGAGAAAATGGGTAATCAAACGGGAGAAGAGAGAAACGACCTTTGTTCTTGTAAAGTCAAAAGTTTGAGGAAGATGAAAAAGAAAGAGGAACATGATGAAGATGATTGAGAAGGAATTTGAGTTGGTAGACAAGAAAACAAAGATCCATCTGAAAATAAAGAATCGAAAATCTTTCGGAAATAGTGATCCATCGGTTTATGTACTTGAAGGCTAAAAAAAGATCATCAAGAGCCCAGTTGTTTTCTATCCACGTGTGAATTCTGGAATTCTCACATGTACCGTATTGACAAATACTATCATCACTCATCAATCAAAAATCCTCTACACCCTCATACCAATCAATGCAATTCTGTAAACCTCCCTCTTCCCGCTTTTTCAGTTGTTTACATAATCTGCAAATGTTTCGAGTTCTTCTCAAAATTTCCATGAAATTTCCATTTTTGGTACTGTCGTGTTTCTCAATTGCGTAGATACATGTGCACCTAAAATGTGAAGCATCAATTATGACGTCTTTGTGATAAAAATGGAGAAAAGGATTTTTATCAATTCTTTGATTGATATCTAAAGAACACTCACATTCAGACCACACACTAGACATACAATTATTTTTGGTTTGGAGAATAATGATTTTTCAAATTCCGAAAGAGATCATAACATTTGTCAGGCCGATCCATATTTGAAATTTCTAAGGATCCTTAACTTGGGCTCCGGGACATTTCGAAATTTTGCTACCGTGATAATACAGGCGGATGGAAAGTTTTCTGACTACAAAACACAATTATGGTTTTCAAATACGTTTTTTCGGATAGAATACATTCTGGAAAATTCAAATAAAAACGTTTTTTGAAACATTAAATTTTGGAATTTTTAAATTAAAGATTGTGTTCTTTTAGAGAAAGCATATTTGGAACCCCTAAAATTGTTTTTGTAGTCTGAAACCTTTCCATTCGCCTTTATTATCAGAATGGCGAAATATCCCTGAACCTATAAGTCAATGAAAAACTTGTGCCTCAACTTTATATGAGCGGGAATTCAAATTCGAATTGCCCGCCTGAGACTCGACAAGTAGGATATAAAGTTTTCCTTTTTAAATCAGAAAAAGAAACGTTCTAAACGATACTTGCTTTTGAGCCGATTTCATGAGGAACACTAGGGAAAAATCAGTTACGGGACATAAGAACTGTACCAAAAATAAACCGTTTTCTCGTATCCCTTTTCCTTCTAACTAGTGCTTATCCTAGCTACAATCTATGTCTTTTCACATAGACACTTTTCGGTTTTTTTTTCATTTTTCTCGTCCATCCATCGGACTGTGTGGTCATAGACTGGTTGAATAGTGTTCAAGGACGAGAGACGCAGACATTCTCTCTCACCAATTGCTCCTCCCATTTTGCATGCCGCCGCGCCCACACCGCTCGGAGAGACTTCCATTTTTCTAGAGAAGTGGAAGGAACGCAGAAACTCTTTGATATAAAAATATAAACTGTATTCACTACTGGCAACATTTTGCCTCTTTTGCCTATTATTTCTGAAAAAGGAAAACACTGGGAGTAATTGAAAGAAATTTCCCTCCCTTGGTTTTTTTTCTATTTTCTACTGGGGTATTTCCATCTAAATCCCTTCTAATTAAAAATATTCTACTATGACACGAGCACAGGGCGGAGCCGTCAGGAGGCAAAGATTGTGGCTCTATGAGTCCGTCAGGTTGGTATCTTTTCTTTTTTGTCTTCAATTGTGAAATGTTTACAAGTTTCTTATTTAAAAGATTTATATACCTACTTTCGCATTTCCCTCTCATTTCTATAAACCATTTTTTGCAAAAACTGAAAATCAGGTTCATTTTCTCATGTGATGCTCACGAGAAAGAGAAGGCTCCTAAGCTGTCAAAAAACCTTTTGCACAAGCAGAAGATTTGACAGATTCTCTCTTCTTATTTTCGAAGCACGCAAACATAGGGAACATTCGAAAAAAGGGAGAGAGAGAGAGGCGCGAAATGAGGAAAATGGTATCGAATTTCGGGTTTTGACGTGTCAAGAGATCGCTTGATCAGTCCTTGAGTTCAAATATTTAGATGAAGAACAATCTAGGGTACGAGGTTTTTTGAACTAGCTAAAAATAGAATTTCAGACAGAGGATACAGTAAATATTGTAGAATTTTTTGGAAGGAGGCACATGGCTTCCAAGAGAGGGTCTTGAAAATAATTGCCAGCGTATCCGAGGTCATCCGAGACCGATCCTATGTCCTAACCAGGGAGTGCTTGTAACCTGAAAAGACCCCAATTCCTCTCAAATATGTAAGATCAGCGGTGTAAATGAATAACAGTACACCAGCTATGGAAATCCATCAACTATTGGTTACGGCATAAGAGCCAGATTAGGCTTAAAGTTAGACCCCTTGCGTTTCAAAATTTTGAAATACTCAGCATATCATTTTCCCATTTCATCTTGAAAGTCTGGAACCCTTTGATTTTCGAATCATTCTTCGGCAAAATTTAAATTTCCACTCAATTTCACACAATTGCTCTTTACTTTTCTTTTTTGTTCTTCTCTTTGTTTGTAAAACTTTAAGATTTTTCGTCTGATTATTGCAATCACATGTCGCACGTAAGCAGAGTAACAACTCTTTCTTCTCCTGCTACAAATCACTTAATCAGAAGAAAGACAAAAAACTGATAACGGATTTTTTGACCCGTCGTCAATAACAAAACTATAGAGTATTTGAAGCTCCATTTTAAGAAGTTTGGTTCGTTTTTTGCAGCCTAAAAATGAGGGGTTAAAAATAGAAAAATAGGAAGAAGAAGAAGTAAAAGTGGGCTATAAACTGCACATGTGTTTACCCATTAGACATGACGACGAAGGAAAATTTGAAGATGGAAACGAAGAAAAAAGGAAGAAGAAGAAGAAGAATAAATGAAAAAAATTGGGAGAAGAAATGCAATGAAAATTGTTGACGTTGGGGGGAAGAATCGGAATATTCCAGAATATTCCTGTTTTAGAGATGACGTTATCAAGTTGGCACAACTTCCATTAAAGTATTCCCATATTCGTAGAATCAGATTCTAGGTTCCACTTGAATCCACATCTACATTTCGTTTTTTCTGGAAATATTCCCTAATCCAACCCGAATCTTTTTTGGGCTTGTAATTCATTCTTTCGACCCATAGATTTGTTTTTTTTTGCGAATTTAATCTAAACGCCGCCTCCAGAATACAACCCAATCTCGGAAATAGACCCATTCCATGACATCAATCTCATTTCTGACTCAGATTTTTATATCCACCTACTCCAAGTCAAAAACGACGTGCTCTTTTTGCTCCTTTACGATCCACTTGATTTCGTTTATCTTGTGGGTGTCTATATCGTCTGATCAAAGTACACATATCCGTTTTTTCTTAACCGATTCAAAAAGAAAACAATCAGTTGACTTTCGTAAATCAAATCAGAACCGATTTTTTTCTTGCGAAAAAAAACAATTGCAAGGTTCTTTCTAGTGTTCAAATGACGCAAACTGAACACTTGATGATCTTTGTTAGTCAATAGTTTTCCTTGAAATGGTGACAATCAAAAAAATGATAAAGGATCGAACATCGAGTGAGGGAAACAACTAATTGGCTGATTTGATCTAATTGAGGGTGTACTGTGTAGACTGGAACGAACGAAAACAAGGAACTGTTTCTAAATAGGAAGAGTAGCACTTGTTGACTTCCGACCCTGCAAGGATTGATATTTATGGAACATTAGCTATCACATGATTTCTCAGATTCTTTGAAGAATGTATCCATCTGATCATACCACGAAAACTGTCTTCTTATCTGTGTTCTTTTATATTTATCAGACCAAAGGTCTTCTCCACAATTCCGTGTGGTTTCGTTGACAAGAAAAAGAAGAAGACGTTTGAAGTGATATCATTATCATCAGAAGTTGATTTCAATTCTTCTTCTTTTGAATCCGAAGATGTCTGATCATAAACGACAACACAATGCAGACGAATGAAGACCAAGAAAACAGATTTAATTCAAATCAGAAAGCATGATCTTCTGTGTGACGCTCACTGTTTGCTCTATATCTTGGTTACGGTCCATGCCGTAAGCTCAAGTAGACTGACACGTGTCTTCCCGAAAGCTGCCTGAGGATCTGATCAGTGACGTGGCACGGGATATTGTGCAAATAGAAGTAAGACGAGGAGCACTTGCGCATGAAGAGAGTAAATGGGATAAAGTAGATCAAATCAAGAATCATAAAATAAAGTACATAAGGAGGAGAAAAACGGTTTGATACTTAGACAAAAACAATCGGGGGGACACTATACATTGTGATTGGTAGATCCTATCAGAACACATTTCAAAAAACTTTTGCCCCCAAAATAGTTCTACCGAAACCTCCCATAAACAATGTTCATCTTTTCTTTTCGAATACTTCAAGTATTTACTCTCACCACCCAGTTATTTCTATGCAGAGCAAATTTTGTTACAAAAAGAAGAAAGAACACAAAAACAATAAGGAAGTTGTGAAAAGCATTTCTTTATGATGGGATCTGAGGATAGCAAAAAAGAAGAAAAAGAAAAAAAGCTGTAACCTCTTTTCGATGTCATCGGTCCCTTCGGCATACAGCTCCAAATCGAATTAGTACTAGGTGGAGAGAGGGTTTTAGGCCGATTCTTGGCACTGAAAGTGTACGTCTTCACTTTTAAAAAAGGCACTTTGCCAAATGAGGTTCTCACTTTTTGGGATGCTATCAAAAGCATCCTAGACTTTCCATCTATTTTGTATTCCTTTTTCTCAAAACAAATTTCAAACAATCTCTGAATATCATGTATGTTTTTAGAGAATTCTCAAAAAAATCATATCGAAAAACCTGTAATAGAAGGGCCTCCTAACCTTTTACTTTAAGCCAATTTCTCTCGGTACCTGTCAAAGATATCATAAAGTTGTCAACTAATAAAATGTTTATCACAAAAGATATCACAAATGATTTATCAGTTGACACGTTTTTGATATGTTGCATGGGAACTAAGAAAAATTAGCTCAACTTGACAACGTTTGTTCCCATCTATTACAGGTTTCCCGGTATTTGAATGCCTTCATCGAAAATTCCTGTTCCAAATTAGAAGATACTGTTATTCCCTTCAAAGACTAGATCATTTGTTTCTTTAAAAATCCTTGTTGACCTACTCGACCCAATTCATTTAAAATTCATAAACTGAAAACCCAATAAGCGTTAACTCCAATCACTCAACCTCGACCCGTCAACCCATGAGCTCACTGAAAAATTCAGAAGAGAGGAAAAAGAATCTGGTTTTCGTTCCGAGTCTCCAGATGTCGTTACATTCCCTTTTTTCCTCTCCATCTCCCCCATTCTTTTTTATTTTTTTTTGTTGTGGTGCTCAGTCGACAACGGCCCGTTTTTTCTGTTCTCTCCTTTCCTCTTCTTTTCACCTTTGCTCCCATTTCAACTTTCAACTTTTCTCAGTTTTTCTCCTTTAATCAAAAATATGTTCTATAAGTTTTGCTCTCCCAATACAACTAGATCTTCGGATTTTAGGTGAACATTGCGAAGTCTGGCAGGGTCTATCTGTCAGTTTGTCAATCTTCTGAAAAAGCAAAACTCTCATTTTTCAAAGTCTGGAAATGAAAATCCACAACGATCAATTGTGTTTTCTTTTTCTACCAGGAACCATTGAATTTCAATTTGTAGTGTAACTTAATTCTTCAAATCTTTTACGGTAATTCTTTAAGATCTAGAATCAGAAGTTTCCCTTATGGTTCGAAATCTCAAAGTTTTTTGATTTATAAACCGGTTGGATCTGTTATCATTTCACGGTTTAAGAAATCTATCGCTTAAAGAAATGATTAGTATTTATTTAGCTCCACTCAAAGTTACGGTACTGAACCTTCTTTACCGTATGCCGAGAGGAGAAACTGTTTCCTTTTGCATTTTACTTCAATCACCTTTGACCTAATTAAGTTCTCATAACATGTATAATGTATGTATTCTTTCGACTTTTTTAGATAATCTACTTTTGTCATTCCCTAGATACAGATCGTGAGTTTCTAGCTGTGATTCTCGGAACGCTGCATGTGTTCGCTTCTTATTATTTAGTACTTAGTTTTTTGTACGATTCGACTTGACTTCTCATTCCAATACCTCTTATTTCTTTTACCTGTGCCTCGCCTGAAGAGCTCATGAAATGCTCACGGGTTGAGGGTTCGAATTTCACAACAAAGCAGATCCCGCAAGGTGCTTCCCCCCACTCGCGGGAGGTAAAGGCAGCAGCTGTGCTGTTTCGCTCAGCCGACCACGTAATAAATGAATCCTTCTCTAAACCCTTGCACTCTCTGTGATTTCAGTGTTCTTTAAAAGTTTTAAACCCCGAAGAAACAGAAGTAAAGTAGATCAGGTCTTGGTCACTTTGATCCCGTTCAACTTTTTTTTTTTCTAACTCGCTGGGTTACTGTAGTTTTCAAGGCGCATTCGCAAAAATGTTTGTTTTTTTGCTATTTTTTCTCTTTTCACCCAAAAATAATATTATTCGAAAACTTCCGAATTTCTAGAAACATGCAGACCGAGATTTTAATCTTACATGTGACAGAGTTAAAATAATGAAAAACTTCTGCGATAACATCTTCTCACTTTCACTTTTATGCAGATGACCCGAACATATCTAAAAACATAACGTTCAAAAATTGTTTTGCAGGATGATCAAACGCAAATTACAAGACCTGGCTGTTTGCTGCTCCTATCAGGTTGACTTCTTGCACGAGAAAAGTGAGTTGCAGCTTGCGCGTTCATTGTTCACAACATCACAATTTTTGAAGAGCACTCAGTGAAAGAATTCAAAAGAAAGTACGAAGTTCTTGATGAAATCGGTCGCGGTGGTTTCGGCATAGTGTATGAAGCAACGAGCCGACAAGAGGGACAACAGCCAGTTGCAGTCAAGTTTGTGCAGCACAAACATGTCAGAAGCTGGACGATGGTGAGTGATTCTGATAGATTTCTAGGGATATTATTTATCAAAAGAATGTTTTTAGACATGCCGTCAACTTATTCCTTCTGAAGTTTGTCATTTGGAAACATGTGAAGACATTCCCGGAGTCATCAAAATACTTGATTGGTTTGCAAAGTGAGAAACAGTACAAATGATTAAATCATTTTATTAATTATTTTTCCAGTTCAAAAGGATTTCTAATTGTAATGGAACGACCTGAAAACTGTATGGATCTGTTCGATATGATATCAGTGCACGGTCCTCTGAATGAAGATATGGCTAAATTTATTTTCAAACAGGTAAAAGCTTGGCTACTGATTACGATCAATTAATAATTTATATTTTCAGGTCATTACAACAGTATTCGATATGTACAGTAAGCATGGACTTTTGCATCGAGACATCAAAGACGAGAATCTTATTGTGAACATGAACACTGGTGAAGTGAAACTGGTGGATTTCGGAGCTACGGCTTATGCAGAAAAAGCAACAAAGAAGGAATTCCAAGGAACGAGATCCTACTGTCCTCCGGAATGGTTCAGAGATCAATTATATCTTCCTCTTGAAGCAACATCGTGGTCCCTCGGTGTTCTTCTTTTCATTCTTCTCACCGGAAAACTTCCATTCAAGAATGAAATTCAAATCTGTCTTGGAAATGTGAGATTCCCTCCAGAACTATCAAAGGAAGTGTGTCAACTGGTAAAAAGCTGTCTGACGACTTCCACATCAGCTCGTGCATCACTGTCGCAAATTGCCGCGCATCCATGGTTAGAAACGGATAGACAGTTTTACAATGCAGACTTGACTTTCGAAGAAGCACTAATGGAAATTAGTTAGTTTCAGAAATCAAACACTTAATTATAAGGAATTGTTGAACTTTCAGAAAATCCAGTGCCGGTGATAGAAGACAAAGAAGCAGAAGACGAAGATAATGAACTCAACGATGTAGTGATTCTCACAAGAAGTCGTGATAGCCGAACTGATATGGATATGGAAAGTATTTGTACGATGGTCACTGCTGTTGAAGATCGATATGAACCATCGATTGCAGTGAAAGAGTTTGTGGCGGAGGAGATTGTTGGGACAGGTAACTAAAAAATCAATGTTTTCCGTTTTGAAATTTGTAATTTTTCAGGCGAAACGACGAATCTTATGCGTAGCGAATCTCGATACGACAATATTTCATCGTCCTCTTTCTGCGATTATGTCTCGTTGGTCTCCTCTTCATATGATGATCAGTTTACATCGACTTCAGATATCTATCAATCTGCTTGTGAAGTGTTTCCGCATACTAGGTAAGATATTTCTTAACATCAAAGTCGATTTAAACCGAAATCTTCTAGTTCTTCAACCTCATTGAGCAGAAGTATTGGTGCTGTAAAATCAGCGTCAGCTTACAACTTGGTTCGAATGCGCAAGAAGTCAAGTATCTTCAAATCCTTTGACACTGAACTGGATCCAGTATCGGAAATCGATAACCAGGTAAACTTTTAATGTTCAGCTTCCTAGTAAACTGAATTTCTTTAGCCTCTCATACCGGAAACTTCGTCTGCAATGGGCCAGTCTACATACAGTAACGATGAGGATGTAACAATATCAGAGGAGGTTATCACTGCTGCAACTTCACCGCCTCTATCATCATCACCTAGGAAGGGAAGTCTCCAATGTTCGGAGTCTACGCCACGATCCAGAGACTCTGTCATCAGAATGTCGCGCCACCGTCCTCTACAATTTGTCATGGATTCTTCATCTCCTCCACCAGCTCTTGCCATTTTTCAAGTAAATCCAACGGCTTCAGTTGGCTGATTTTCATTCATTAAAAAAAATTAAATACTGTGTATAAAAGGGTAAACACGGGTCAATCGTTCAACTTGTGCAGTATATTTTTATGGGTCTTTTACATTTATTTGCTAATAATTTAAACCTTTCATAACAACGGCTTTTATATTATGTAAGCTTTGAACCCACTATTCGAGGTTAATAAATTTGAATTATTTTTACGATGTGTGTTCTGATTGATAGCAAGTTAAATATGACGATTCGAAAACTAAAAAAAATGGACAACAGATCGATTCACACTGACTACTTTCACACTACTTTTGAGGTGATTTAGTGATCAGTCGCAAAATTATCGAAAAGTTCCATCTTAACAAAGTTCATGATACAAGACCTCTAAACCCAGAAAGTTACGAACACTGCAAAAAATTAATGATAAGTTTGACATTAACATCATCTTCAGTTGACAAAAATTGAAACTACAGTAATCCGTAACTGAAATGCATCTCCGAAAAGGTTTGAAACTCGAGTAATCCAGACGTTCCAAAAAAAGTTCCCATCGATCTAAATTCGACTTCTAATCATTCTGTTCGGCCTAATAGGATTTTTTTGAGTTCAAGTTCAAAGTTTTGAAAAATCTGAAAAAATGTTTCTAGAAAAAGTTTCAAAGTTGTACAATACTGAAACGAAAGAGTAAAGGAAACCGAGACAATGTTAAACGAATTCTCATAAAATCATTCAAAATCTAGGACCTACTTAGGAAAGGGGAGGAAGATTCTGAAGATTTTAAAAGAATTCAGAAGACATTTCCCAATCTACAATACCCTTTCGAACACAGCTAAACCTTTGACCGACTAGATTAACAGTCAGCCATAGCCGTCAGGGCTCGAAAGAGTGAAGGAAACCGAGACAATGTCAAACGATTCTCAGAAAATCTAGGACCTACTTTGGAAAGGGCAGGAAGATTCTGAATATTTTAAAAGAATTCAGAAGATAATTCCCAATCTTATTCCAACTCTCACTCTTTTAAGCTGAAAAGTTAGAGTCTTTTATTCCAACTCTGGTTTTTAGACTGGTTTTTAGAGATTCATTCCCACCCACACAGGTTGGAGTATCTGACCCTTTCTGGACATACCTGAACCGCGTGAACAGTAAACTTCCATCAAATTTCTTTTCTCTCTCTCTCTCTCTCTCTCTCTCTCTCTCTCTCTCTCTCTCTTTTCAGAAGTTCAGATTTTGGTCGTGGTTGGACGCCAGTGAGATACAATTCATTGTTAACTCTTGAATACATTCGTTTTTTTTCTTGGCATGACAACTGTACTACTTCTCAGTAGTACTTTGTCATATCTGTGTTTTTTCATTGTTGTTGGGTCATATTGCACATACGATGTGTTCATGTTTTAGAAATATTTATTATCTTTAAATCCGAATGATGTATCTTTTCAATTCAAAAATTGATTTCCAATCCAGGTGACATGTATGGAAATCTTCAGAAAATGTGGAGTACTGTAGTGCGTAACGTACAAAAATAACAAAGTAATGTAAAAGATTATTGGTATGTATGCCCGCTACTGACTTTCGGAATCCGGAAGTTAATATTTAACTTTGTTCATTCAATGAGTACTGTAAGAGATTTTCCGCAAAAAAAAATAGTTTGTACTCACTTGGGTTCAAGCCAATGGGTCAGAAATCGCGCCCCAGTAAAAGTGAGATTTTAGAAAAATTCGCTGCTGAATTATGTGGCTGAGGGTCTAACTTTTAAACGTTGCACAAAAAAATCACGCGTTGCAACTCGTTGATTAAAACTAATTAGGTCAAATCCACGTCAACTTGGAAATTATTAAATTTCTTCTGGCCTAAAAGTTATTTGGGGCGCGTTTTTTGACC